AATATGTTTTCTAAATGTATCTTGAATAGAATGTAAAAAAAAAATCCTACCTGAAAAATGGTTTCAAACAAATGAAGGTTGATGTGAACCGTGAGGGAAAAAGTAATGGTTCACACCAGAAGTTAGTTTCTGTTATTTGTCCTCTGAAATAATCGATGTTCTTTTCGTGACAGTGGGATACAGAGATAAGACATGGCTCTTGCTCTTTAGATCTTAACACAGGGCAGAATCACTCAACTTAAGGACTATTGGAGAAGAGTTTTAGGAGATCAGAGAGGAGCAGACATTCAAACTTGTGGCCATGAAGGTATTCTTAATAAAGGTAGCTTTGGAGCACAAGTCTGGGTAGAAACAAAAACATGAACTAAAGTTTCTAAACAAGGGCACTTCTGAAAATGGGATTTTAACAGTTTTTCAGGTAGTAAATGGTTTCTTTGGGGCAGAGTACATAGATTTTTTTTTTTGCTTAGTAAAGTAACAAAGTATGAAATCTATATTATTGTAGGCTATTGTGCACTGTTGATAGAACTATAGATACAGATGTTCTTCAAGGCAGTTTGTACTGTATGTCAGCAGACTCCCCACGCATATTCCTGTTGCCTTCCCTCCCCACCCCCTGGAAAGATATTTGACTTGGTAATCTTGATTTAAGGAATACAGGGAAGAATTTTATAATCTTTTTTGTTTTTGAATTTGTTAACGGATTTAAAGAAACTGCTACCCTGCAGGGAAGTGAGAAGATGACCTGGAAATCAGAAAGGAGATCTCTTACTACTAAAAAACAACAACAAAAAACTAAACAAAACAAAAAGAACCTCCTTTGACCAGAAAGCATTCAAAATTGAAAAGAAAAGCTAAAACTGGTGGCAGCAGATGCAGAGACCCACAGCCAAACACTAGGTGGAGCCAGAGGGGTCAAGGACATCATGAGAAAATGGCCCACAGAATCAACTAAGCAGGGCTCATAGAGACTGAAGCAACAAACACGGAACCTGTATGGGTCTGAGCTAGATCCTCTGCATATACCTTATCATTGTGCAGCTTGGTGTTCATGTGCGACTCCTAACAGTGGAGGGGGTGGGTCTCTGACACTTGCCTGAGCTTGGGACCCTTTTCCTCCTACTGGGTTGCCTCATTCAGCCTTGATATGAGGGTTTGTGCCCAGTCTTATTGTATCTTTGTAAGGCCTTTTTTGTGTATATCCCTGGAAAGCCTACTCCCTTTTATTGAAGGGAAACGAAGGAGGAGGAGTAGATCCAGGGGAGACGGGAGGTATAGGAAGAGACTGGGAGGAGTGGAGGGAGGGAAAACTGGTTGGGATGCAATGTATGAAAGAAAGAATGAAAGTTTAAAAAAGAAAAAAAAAGCTATCTGAGAAAAACATTTACAGTAGTTCAGACAAAAAATTATTTCCATAATATGCAAAGGATTCTTGATCAATCAGCAATGAATACCTAAGTAGAAGTAGGGAATTAGGCAGAGGACATGAACGAGACCTGCAGAGTTGAATGGAAACTGTGTTAGTACATGCACAGCTCAGTGCAGTGTCAGCGAGGGTATGGGAAAGCAGCACACTGATGGGTTATTTCTGGGAAGTGGCAGGCTTTTTTTTTTTGAGAACCTGTTTATTTGCTTAATATTTTTTAGGCATTCACAAAAATATATAAAAACACTGTGGGTCTTTCCCACAGATTCACTTAATCTTAACACCTTACATGCAGTAGTATAATCATCAACACTGTTAGAGTGGGTATATGCACTACCAAATCACAAAGTAGCGTTTCTGCTAATCTTTTTCAGCTTTAGTTTACGGCCTGGGGTCATGTCACCTTGTTCTACCTCTTATTCTCCTGTTACTATAATGCCTTTAAAAAATTCTCTATGCTAGGACCTAGCTCCTCACGCTTGGAGGCCAAGTGCTGCATCACTGAGCTATATCCCCAGTTTCCCAGCCCTGATGGTTTGTAGATGAGATTCTTCAGTTTCCTCATGGAATGTCCTTAGTTTGGACTTCTCTGATGTTTTATCCATGACATCTTGAAGTTATTAAATTTGGGCAGCATTGCCTTGGGAACACTGTGCTCTTGACGATGCGTCATACCAGGAGACACATGATGATAAGTCTCACTGCTCTCATGCTAAACTTCTTCATTTGGTTTAAGTTGTGCAACTAACTGTAAGTTACTGTTTTTCCTTTCTCAGAACACTGTGGGAATAAAATTATGTATCAAGCCAGGACTTGTGGGATGTTGCTAGTTCCTGTAACTAGTGAAGGTAGCTGTGATTAGTTAGGGGCATGTCAACTGGGGTTCTCTGGAGTCAGATTTTTATTTTTATTCTTCTGTTTGTTTGAGGCGGGGTCTCACTATGGAGCCCTGGCTGACCTGGAACTTACCATGTAGACAAGGCTTCTCTTGAACTCACAGAGACCCACCCATCTCAGCTTCCCTAAGGTGTATGCCACCATGCCTGGCTTTTGTTTTTATATTTATAATAAATATCAATGTTCACATTCTATTTTATCAATACATATTTGAGTGGATACTTTCGAGATCCTGAATTCCAATTTCAACTTCCCAATTTTTCCTGTTGGTGCTGGCATTCATCAGTTGATGGGTATGAGCAGGGCCCGTGGAGTCCAGAAGAGGGTATTGTTAGATCCCCTGCAACTGGAGTCAGGGGCAGTTGTAAACTGCCCAGTGTGGGTGCTGGGAACTGAACTCGGGGCCTCTGCAAGAGCAATAAGAGCTTTTAGTCACCACTGGACTGTCTCTCCAGCTCCCAATTATACATTTATTTTATGGAAAATTTGGAAGATACTAAATTTTCCTGGAAATACAAAAGCATACAAATATTCAAACTACTAGTTTTAATATTTGACATAAATAGTACACATATGTAAAACTCAAACATGCGTGTATAATAGAACCTTAATTGGTTTGGAGATCAATATTTTAAAGTTTTAAGCTGTGTTCCAAGACAAATAGAGGATTATCTATTTCCCTGATAAGATAAAACACCATTATTGCTTAGGAAATTGTTTTGAATTGGTCTCGCTCGAGTTTACTTTGAGGTTTGAATACAATGTGCCGATTTCCTTGCTGTTTTTCCATTCAACTCTGAAACATCCTATTTTCAACTTAACATTGATGCCTGAGACATTAATTACAGGAGAGCAACTCATGCCTGGAACCATTTCAACAGATGCTATCACAAGTTTAGTATTTACTTGACTTTTAAAAGAATGTTTTAAAATGATTGCTTAATAGACTCATTTACTTCCAGAGAGGCCCCAAACCAAACACTGGGATGGTTTGTTTCTGAAGTCTGTTCCCAACTATGAGGTTATCTAAAGGTTAAGAACACTTCCATGTATTTGTAACACTTTGGGATCTCCTTTGGAAAAATTCATTTGTTAACTCTCTCATTAGCTCTGTGGATGTTGTTTTTTTACCCTTGTGTTTGGTGAATTAGAATTTCTCAGTTCTGTGTCTTCCATAATTGTCCATCTTCAACACTGTAGTTTTCTACCCCACCAGATTTATTCTGTAGAAGCAAACCATATTATATTCTTTCAGTGTGGGAAAATTTTGCTAAGCTAAGACATTTTAGCTTTTTTATTGTTGTGGTCCTGCTGCAGCCTGGGTTCAGGTCCTTAGATGGGGAAGGGGTGTTGGCATGAAGAAATGAATTGTCTGACCACCAGATGAGTTTTACGGAAGTGGCTGGCCCCAAATAGCTTCAGCCGTCTTTATTTATATGTCAAAAGCAAGCATGCTTTTCCATACTAGCAAACAAGTTTTCCCATCCTTCAGTCTTAACCTCCAGCAAAACCAAATATGTTTTCCCCCATTTTTTACATCAAAACAGCTTTAAACCAAAAACAACACTTATCATTTTCTAGCTTGGCCAAATATTATGTCAGGCCTCTCTTGCGTCTTTTTTTTTCAAAACTAAAAGGTGATAAAGTTAGGGCTAGGCACACATTTTCAAGAGTAGCAAACCCGTTCAAAAACAGTTACAGAAATAGGGGCAATCTGCCAGCATTGAATTAGAACAGCTCCTGGGGTCTGCAGTGACAGCCGACATCCCCAGACAAGAAACTCGAGAAACGTCAGCTCCCAGAGAGTTTTAGGGGAAGATATTCGAGAAAAACTGGGGTTTCCAGGAATGATCACATCTGTCTCATGCGTGATTGACAAAATGTCACTAAAACTGCCAAGAAAATCATCAGTCATTATAAGAAGAGCATGCAGACCGCACAGTCCCAACAGTATTCTGCACTGTCCCCAAAGTCCACTGGTTCTTGCCAAGTGAGTCTGTCCCTGTGGGCTTTTGCCTCATCTGGAGCCCCCTTGGAAAAGCACGCGTAGTCTGCAACTAGGCCGCATGGCTCCCAACACCTATGTTAAAAACCCTTGTATATTCATGAGGAAGAGAATTCTGAGTAAGGTTTGCTTTATAATTTTAGCAAAATTATCCCTAAATCAAATCTGCTTATGATATTCTGCATAGGTTTTCTATATTACATGAGCTCTATGTTTATTTGGCTAGAATGAGACTGGGAGGAGGGTGCTATATTGTGGAGGGAGCCAGGGAGGGTTGAAGATTAGTTCTGTTGTATAGGGAATTCTGGCTAGGTTAGAACATGTAATTTGATTCCTTTTCTCTGGTGGGCAGCCATTACATCCTTCATTTTCCTATTTGGTGCTAGGTGTCGCCGCTTTAGTTGTTGGGAAAGTGGGACCAGCAGCCGAGACCTTTAGAAAAGGACAAGAGGCTGCTGCCCCTTTGAGTGAGCCCCACTCGCTTAGCTCACCTGAACTCCTAATGTTACTACTTCACTTCCGGCAGTCATCTTAGTAGTTCCGTATTTTTGCCTCTGGTGTCTGGCTTTTCCTGAGCTAAGGTGCTCAGAGATGTGAGCTGTCACCTGGGTTTCTTTGGCGAGGATTCATGTCCCATGTCACAGTACTCATAACTCTTGTCTCTCACTGCAGAATCAAATCGCGGGAGATATACCTGTTCTTCTTAAAAGGGAAAGAAGACATCTGTAAGTATGTGTCCTTCAGGACTTAAAATGTATAATTGTATCCATGTTTTGAGGCTATTAAGGGAGCAATCTTACCAATATCTATAATGTTAAAAAGGCAATATTTGGGAAAGTAAAACGGGAAAACATGTTTACTTTATGTAACGTCTAGAATTTCAACCACATGTAATTCAGTTGTAAAAGGAGAGGACTAGTTAAATCCTTTCTTTGAGTCATGCATGCCCCAATATGGAGGTCCAGAGTTCCAGTTCTGAGTACCAAGGTGTCCAGGCTATCTTTTGGCAGGCCGAAGAGCTTCCTTGTCTGTAAACGGGGCTGAATAGCAAGCACACAGCCACTGATGCACCGTAGCACTGAACGCTCATCTCAGAGATGGAAGCTTATTATTGTACCTTAGTGGCTATTTCTCAAGCTGACGTTACTGAGCGGATGCGCACAAACTTAACTAGCAGCATTGCCCTTCACTGAGGTGCTTATTTCCGGACTGTGATGTGGAGAGCCAAACAAATGCAACAGAGCCCTTGAAGTCATCATGTCTGAGACTTAGAACTGGAAAATCACCCAGATCAGTGGTTCCCAAATGGGATTTGTAGGCCAGTGCCAGCTAGTGGAGAGGTTTTTACTAGGCCATTCTGGAGCATGGCTAAAAGGAGCAGTAGGCTTACATTCTCTTTTTAAGGCTAGCTATTTTCAATGTAAAGGCTATGCTGGTCTCAATTGGGAGAGGTAAGCATGCACTTTATTGTATAAAACGACAGGGACTGTAAATGCTAGGGGCATTTTTAACACCCATACCTCACAACAAAATAGCTCTCTGTGGTTATGCTTATCCTTAAAAACCAAGCCTGTCTTTGATGTGTTGAAATGTGAATCTAACTTTCTAATTTTACAGATGAGAAGTGACAGGCTCATTTGTTTCAAACCTGACAGCTCAGCGACTCTGACGCTGCCTCTCTCGTATTTCTGGCCTTCTACGCATTGATTTCAGTGTACTAAGTTACGACTTTGAAACAGAAGATAAGAGTAGCTCTTCTGTGCTAATGACTACTTTCCAAGCATGAGAAATTCAAAAGACTTAATGCTCTTACATGCCTAAATTGATGACCTCTCGTTGGTTCACATTAGGAGAATCTTAAACGTGACCACGGATGAGGCCAGAATTAGCTATCTGGGAATTCAGGTCCCTCAGGCTCTGCGCTACTGCATAATTGAAAAACTAGGAGGCTGATCAGTCTGCTCAGCTTTCCCTTTGGAAAATAGGTTGCTGCCATTGGGAGCAGTGTATCAAACCTTTGGCACTACCTTGTTCTTGCATGTACACCGACATGCACAGGTACACACTTACAGCAGCTGGCCTTGGCTAACCCAAGTGGAGTCCATCTTGGCTCCGGCAGAAAACACGCTCTAGCAATTGGCAGCTATGTTCAGGAGCTTTCAGATCGTGCCCTGTGGCACTTTGGAGGCTCTCCATCAATTGTCATAACTTTGCTCCAGCTATCTCAGAATAGATTTCAAAACAAAACTAATTTCCTTATTGCCTTTGCTTACCTTGCCTCGGTGAAACATGGGCCAGATAAGCAATATGAATGTAAGAAGAAAGAGCAGAGTGAAATATATTCCTGACCTTAGCATGGAGATGCTAACATTAAGAATACTTCTCCGTGATTTTTTTTAATATTTGACTTTGTATGATTTTGTTGTTCAATGAAGAATTTATTATTTTTTTAAATTCAGAAGCCCCTCTTGGTGAATTGTTAAGGTAAAAGTGGCATTGGGGAATTTCTCCTATGTGCCCCTTTCCCCTTTACTCTCACTGATTGGCCATGACATTCTAACAGGTTTATTAGTATTGGAGTTTTTGTGCTTTTTAAAAGATCTCTTTCTTTATTATGAATACCATGTCCTGCCTGCCTGTATGCCTGCAGGCCAGAAGGGGGCGCCAGATCTCAGTACAAATTATTGTGAGTCACCTTGTGGTTGTGGGAACTGAACTCAGGACCTCTGGAAGAGCAGTCAGTGCTCTTAATCACTGAGCCATCTCTAGCCCCCCCCTTCTTTTTTAGACAGGGTTTCTCTGTGTAGTCCTGGAACTCACTCTGTAGTCCAGATTAGCTTTGAACTCACAGAGATCTGCCTACCTCTGCTTCTCACTGTGATCAAAGGCATGTACCACCACTGCCCAATAAATTCTGTTTTTTTTCTTTAGTCTTATTCATAATATCTATGTAACACTAAAGATTGAAGTGTTCTTTAAAAAAAACAAGAACAGTGTGATAGAAATATACGTCAGGATGGTTAGGCAGCTAGACTGAAGAGACTTACTTGGCCTCTTTATAAGAAATGGTTTAAGACTTCGTTGCATAATTTTTAGCAGTATAAAGTACTAGGAAACACCATTGGCTAAGAACCAGCCTATTAAACTGCCTCCACCCTCCACCTCTATCAAGTAGGGCGTGTGGTGTGTGTGTGTGTGTGTGTTTTAAATACTTAGTTGCAAAATTCTGCCTGTAACACAAAGGCATTCCTGTGGAAAATGTTACTGGTTACAGGGATTCTTTTAACCTAATTCAATTGTTGACAACTATCCTTCAGTTGTGAAACTTCCTTATAATAGGTAAGGTAACAGGAGATAGATGCATAGCTTACAGACGGACTGTGCAGTTCTTATTTAATAAAAACATAGTCACTGTAATGACTTTAAAGGTCGGTTCTGTAGCTGTGCTATTTTTGTTAACATATGTTAAAATTAAAACTAATGTGTTCCAACCGAGGAAGCACTTTGGACAAAAAGAAAGTCTACCCAGCAGGTCATTATTTGGGCAACAAGGCTTCGTGCACAGGAGCCTGTAGAAGTTACTCCTGTGCTGCCTTTCTAGGACCTTGACATCGTCTTTGTGCTGCCTGCTTCGCTTTTAGAGCCTCAAACCTTTCATAGTTCTTTCCAAATACTTAACTCCCTGGAAGCTTTTCTCTTTTCACAGTGTTTAATGAACTTGGATTGTAATATCATGCTGTGCCAGTAGGTGGTGCCACCTGCTAATAGATTTTTTCCAAGTTCCTTAAAACTTTGGATTAAATTATATACAATTACTAACTGTAAGAATACATATTTAAAAATCAATTGTGTCTCTTATCACTTAGAATGAGTACTAGACATCTGGTTTTATGCAGTATAGATGTGAAGTGTGTAGGCAGTAACATTGGCTCCTAAATTACCATATTTCAACATACAGAGATAGGATCCCAATTATACTAAACTGTGACCTAGATAAGCCATCTGATGCATGCTGGGGATCCTCTTAAGGCATTATGGGAGGGAGGGAGCTCTTTCTAGAGCATGAACGAGTGTCTTCACCATGGCTGCTGGGGTGCTTGCTTTTCTGGGAAAAGCTGGGAAGAGACTGGCAGGATGGCGACTTCAGGAGTTAAAGCTTCTCCAGGTGATGAAATAGACAGGTTTGGCTAATCTTAAGAGAGACACACTCAATGATCAGTTGTACTCATGAGATGCTTTAAAGCAAAACGATAACTAGTTAAATGTACATGTTGGTGGAGGGGAATGTGTGTGAGCATGTGTGTGCTTGTGAATGCGCACAGATAAACATGTGCAAGCGCACACACATACACACACGCTTGTACATTCTCCAAGTTTTTAATTTTGCCGAGTTTAAGTTTGATTATACGAATTATTTGACATTGATTAAAATGACCGTTGCTATAGTCTTATAATTTGTATTTGAGTCTGACCAGGGGAGCCTGATCTATATATTCCATGGAAAGATTTGGTGTTAGCTAATCACAGCTCATTTATTGTCTTAAAATGTTAGCATTTTGTATGTTTTAAAGTTAAGCTGTAATGTATCTCCTTAAAGGTTGATCTTGTTTACCAAGTGTAGGCATCCATTTTGTATGTGACCATTCTCATGTTTCAAATTCAGAATAGCTATAAGAGGATGTGAAATAATTTTTTACAAAGCATGCCACCCTTTTATAAAATCCTTGATGATGCAACATCTATTTAGAAATATGATCTTTTAAAGTATAGCAAGTATTCTTATCTGTTTAATCTGTTGAAATTTTATAATTTTATGATTCAATGTTTGGTAGCTAGGACTGTGGGCAAATTATCTTTAGTTGATGTTTAATTTATTCATAAATAGTATGTGACTTGAAAATTTGACTAAAATAATATTTGTATAGTTGATTGTTGATTTTCAAATTGATTTACTAAGCATTTTCATATAATCTTGGTGCAGTGTTTCTCAACCTTCCTAGTGTTGCGACCCTTTAATACAGCCCCTCATGTTGTGGTGACCTCCAAACAGAATTCTTTTCGTTGCTGCTTCATAACTGTAATATTGCTACTGTTGATGAATTGTAATGTAAATATCTGGTTTGCCACTGCTTGGGGTCGCAACTCCCAGGTTGAGAACCACTGTCTTAGCGTGAACAATATACGGTGCTGGTTTGTTATGGTGGTGGCAGATGCATTGATCTTTGCTTCGTTTTGTTCATTTCTAAAATTTTAGTAAAAAGGATCTTGGCATTAATCATCTTAAACTGGTATTGCATCACACGCTTCTGGTGGAGAAATTTCTTTTAAATTCAGACTTTACACAGTATGTAATGTTTACTTTGGGCCCTAGAGCTGGATGTATCGCTAATGCTTTTTGTGTTTAACCTGTCTCAGGGTGTTTGAAGTAACTGGAATGAAATACTTACCAAATCTGACTTCAGAACAAAAGTAAACCAGTTGTATCTGATTCTTCACTACACCTTTTAGGATTTTCTAGCCATCTGAAGGGCTTTGGCCTTGCCCAGTGCTTTTGGAGGAAGGGCAAATCAGTGCTCTCAAATCATTGCCATTATTTCTTCTTGTATGAGGCCTGCCACTCTCACCTACTTCGAGTTCCAGTCTGAGCAGATGGTAGAGATATGGACTTGTGAATAACTTGAGTCTACTCTCCTCAGCTGTGCTAACTTTGGCTAACTGTACCATCCCTGAGTTTCCTCTAGCTGTAAAGATACCACCTTAAATTTCCCTGACTAATCCAATGACCATGTCTGTCTAAGACTTTCCCACAGTAAGTATGTATGAAAATGCTCCCCACCTGGACTAGCAGAGGTCTGAAGCCACAATTAACTCTTCCCATGGGTGGATCCTATTCTGAAACAGAAGTCCATCACCTGGCTTCAAGGACACACAACTCAGTTTGGACCCTATTAACACGAGGGTGCAGTGTGGTCTTCATACAGGAAATGGCAGCATACCTTCCTGCTCTTATAACAGCAGTCTTTGCGCTCTGTGCTGGAGAGTCTTTCTAGTTTTATGTTTTCATTAAACAATCAATAACTTTTCCAAGTTCATTTTAGTTACCAAAGATTTTAAGAGCATTGTGTTTTCCAGAACTTTGACACAATATTGTCTTAACGTATAGCTGAAGTTAAGTATACTCAGGTTATTTTGTTTGTAATTTCAGTTTCTAATCCACACCACTTCCGTGTATGTTTTTATTCAATACATTTTTTGAACAGCTCTTGTGGTTGGCGAGGTTTCAGCAGCAAACTGCCTCTTTATGAAGTCTCTATTCTAATGGAGACGTAGACAGTAAGCATGAAAACTAGGACCCAGTGGTTTATTAGTGGGAGGTGGTGAGGAAAAACATCAAGTGAGAAAGGGACTGTTTAAATGGGGTGACTAGGGAAGGTCTAACTGGGAAGGTGGTATTACTTGATTAAATATAGAAAGTAGGCAAAAAAAAAAAAAACAACGTACGTGGGTATCTTAGGAAAATAATTCAGGCAGAAAGAATAATACAGGCAAGCCCTGAGTCACAACATAGTATAGCCCAAACAGTAATGAACACCTGGGACTGGAGCAGTGTGCCAGGGGAGGGCGCAGTAGGGAGCGAACTCAGAAACACACAGGGAATACACTAAAAGCGGCAAGGCTGGCTAAGACGCAGCTGTAGAGAGAGCAGTGACTCTGCTTTGAGCCTGCTGAAATTCTGGCACTTAAATGACTTTTACCATTGAGGACACTGTTGATTATTCAAATTGGAAGTTTCAGGGGACTTCCGGGCTTATTTGGGAATCATTACCATATGTGATATTTCACTCTGTGAGAGGAAATGAGATCGGCACAGGTATGAGCCTAGCTAGAGAAGCAATTAGGATTGACCACTGTACTATCGAGGGATCGGGGAAGCAAGGGAGAAGTAAGGAAGGCTTGGCAATGCCAGCAAATAGGAAGAAAGTGAAATCTGCTGTCTTGGGGAGTGAATGGAAGAGATTTTAGGCAAGAAAGGAAACTGCTGTGTTAAAGGGTGGCCGTGAAGGAAGAAGACTATGGGGCTTTAACTGTCCTCTGGGTCAAATGGCGACACTGGTCAGAGAGAGCACCTTAGATGTGTTGTGGGGGACAAAGACCCGAGTATAGTGGGTACCAGAGAAAACAGACGTGGAAACGGGGTGATGGAGTACACAGCTCTTTTTTAGAATTTCCTTCTTTCATTCATCCTTCCTTTCTTCCTCCCTCTCTCCCTCCCTTCCTTCCTTTCTCTCTCTCTCTCTCTCTCTCCTCTCTTTTTTTTTTTCCTTTTTGGTTTTTCGAGACAGGGTTTCGCTGTGTAGCCCAGGTTGTCCTAGAACTTGCTGTGTAGACCAGGCTGGCCTCAAATTCACTGAGATCCTCCTGCCTCTGCCTCCCAAGTGCTGGGATTAAAGGCGTACACCACCACTGCTGGCTTTTTTTTCTTCTTTTAAAGATTTTTAAAGAGAAGAAATGGGGCATAGCTGAGAGTTAGGTATTTAAAAAAAAGGATTGTTTTCAAGATGAAATAAATGCTAGGCTGTTAGAAGAATGCCAATGGGAATGATTAGTAGAGCAGCAGATCGACTTGTAGACAGGCGTGATGTCCCGATAAAGGGATGGGAACACTGGCATTTCTTCCAGTCTAGAAGAGAGCTGAGCTTATGCCATAGATACATGGAAGTGAGTTCATTGCTAATGATTCAGGACAGCAACTGAGAATAATAATGTAGAGGAGTAAATGGAGATCTGAAGACAAGGCAGCAAATTGAGAAGCCTAACACAGGGGTTTCTGTGTATCTTCAAGTGAAGCATTCAGCACAATAGTGTGTTCCTGCGAATTAAGCCGCCTGGGCCCAGGTGCAGGTTAGCATGTGATTTAGCTGAGTCAGTTAAGCAACCCGAGTGAGTCCTGAGAGTAGGGCAGAGGCCAGTTCTGATTACTCGGGGATTTACGTAAGGAAGACAAAGCGTTCCCCTCAAGAAAACTACGACATTGATAATTCAGATGAAGCGGCTGCCGCAGATCTTTTCAAGCTTTTACCTGTTCAAAGCCACACTTGATAGTAGACACTGAGGCCAGACATGACTTCTCGCTCAGTCCAGCGTGCTCATTGTCTGAGATGCCAGATTTGTAGATAACAGTTCATTTCCCCTAGAACAAGAGCAGTTATTCTTTTTTGTGCTAAACACTGAAGATTATTGTAGAAGGTATTTCCCTTCTACCAAGACGTAAAGCGAGCATGTATAAAACATTATATAATATAATATATATATATATATTATAGTTATTGCTATTATAAATGATTTAAAAAATACAATGTATTTATAGTCAATTATATAAGTGTCTGAGTTCATTTTCTATTTCTTTGTATTTGGTACCCTAAGTTTGCTAATTCCTTATTTGAGAATGGGGTGGTACTGTCTCTTACGGACATTGTATAAATTTGAAGACATGCTTCTTGTCTTCAATTATTGTCCCTGAAAATGTATATACTCAAATATTTTTTTCAAGCTGCTTCTCTTTTGTACTTTTTTATACAGCTATTAAGAACTTATTTTTTAAAAATTATGCATGTGGGTAGCCTGTCTCGGACTGACTGTCTTTTACAACTTTATCAAGGAGTAACAAAGTACCTTTGTTACAAGAAAGAAATGTTGGAGCCAGTCTGGTGGCACATACCTGTAGTCTCTGCACTTGGGAGACGGAGGCAGATGGATTTCTGTGAGTTTAAAGCTAGCCTGATCTATGTAGTGAGTTCTGGGCTAGCCAGGAATACACAGTGAGACCCTGTCTCAAAAAAAGATGTTGGTCTGTGCTTTAAAGTTAGCCGCCCAGATGTGTGGAGGTGATGATGTAATAAAGTAGCAGTGGGGAGGGTAGGCATTTTTAGTGATGTAGGAAAGTAGATGAAGGGAAGATTATTTTAGACTTAGGCAGGTAAAAAATCTCCTATGGAAGAGTGATCTTGGGTGTTTAAAGGCTGGGCTCTGCAGATGCTTGAAAGCTTACTTGAGGTGAGTGACTAGACAAACTCGCCAGGGAGACCAAAAAAGCAATTTCTAGGTTTAGTGTAAATCAGAATGGAAACTTGGAAAATCCCAGATAAATCACCTAGGCCCAAAATAGTAAGGTAAAGGTTGTCTTCTATTTGGGTTCTTGAAGTGTTTTGAGGAATTCCATGAATATATATATATATATATATATATATATATATATATATATATATATCTTCATGAATCTGTGATGAGTAGCGTTCACTGGGTTTTCAAAGGATTAATTTCTTTATTTCTTTTAGAAAAGTAAGGCCCATTGATTTAGTCTGATCACAAAAGATTGCTCAAGTTTACATAATCAGGGAGTGGCAAAGGCACATACTGAAACCCAGTGATCAAGTTTCTTGTTCATTTCACCATACTGAGGTTCAGCTTGCATCTAGCCATCACCAATCCCTTGTGGACTCTTGGCCATTTTGTGTTCCACTGAACTCTCCTTCCATCAGTTGTTGTGCTGCGCAATGTAGTCTAGTTGAGGATCACATCGGTGCCTTAGGAGTGAGGTTCCGGGGACTTCTAAGATCATAGGACGTTCTAAACCTCTCCTTCACCTAGAATAATTCCAGGGCGGTACATGGGCAGTCCACATGAGTTGCTATTTAAAGATATTGTTTAGCTGTTCTCCCTGCTCCCACACCCCATCCCAATTTGAACAATACTAGATCTATCTTATATGCTGACTGCATATATGAGTATGTTAACTTACAGGGCTAGGACTTAACACTGTTTCAGACCTATGCTTCTCCCAGGCAGTTGGTACAGTTTTGAGCACAGTATAGTCACTAAGACAGAACTCTATAATTGTATTCTTCCCATTTGGGGAAGATGGTGATCAGCATTATCTCTCAGAAATTTACCTTAATAAAGAAGAAAGGATAGTATCTCTTGGGTCTTCTTCACAACCTCATGCACAGATGAGAGCATGAACGTAGTATTGCTTGCCTGATTTAGAGAAGAATATAGAGTACTCTTATGACTCAACACAGAAAAAAATGAAATTCAGAAGTTCTTGCACTTAAAAAAATGTTTATGTCAATAATGACAAAACTTGAAAATGCCGGCATTTCATGCCAGTTGCTTCATATTTCCATATCAAATCAGTTATATAAACTAATAAAGGTCTGAATATTTAAATTAATTGTGCTACCAACTTGCTAATATTCTTTTGTTTTTTTTTTCTATTCTCTGCCTGGTTCGTTGTCTTTACCTACAGGTGTACTTTATTGTCGGCTTCCAAAGATTACTAACTTTTATCTGTATCACTAAAATTGAACTACCTTGGCTATACTGCTACTCTTGCTACTGCTTCCATTATTGCCTTCTCCAGAAACCTAAGGCTTTCAGAAGCCAAAGAATAACAACAAATAGGCGCCATATTAGAAGCCTTTCCACTATGAAACTTAAGCTAAATGTGCTCACCATTATATTGCTGCCTGTCCACTTGTTAATAACAATATACAGTGCCCTTATATTTATTCCATGGTATTTTCTTACCAATGCCAAGAAGAAAAACGCTATGGCAAAGAGAATAAAAGCTAAGCCCACTTCAGACAAACCTGGAAGTCCATATCGCTCTGTCACGCACTTCGACTCACTAGCTGTCATAGACATCCCTGGAGCAGATACTCTGGATAAATTATTTGACCATGCCATAGCCAAGTTTGGAAAGAAGGACAGCCTTGGGACCAGGGAAATCCTTAGTGAAGAAAACGAAATGCAGCCCAATGGAAAGGTTTTTAAGAAGGTAAAGCATTTGTGTCTTCTTTATTTGTTTTAATGACGGGTACAGGCCTTTTAGGATTCTTGTCATAAACCAAGTGCACTTTAAGAATGCTGGCCCTGTAGCACAGGCCTTGGTAATGAACTCTCAGAGGCCTTATAGTTTCTGAGTATTAACACAATGGGATTTTTCAGAGTTCCATGTTTTGAATAGTATTGCGATTGCTTGCTTGAATAAATACTCTGATAGCGGAAAATGCCTTACTTTTAACAGTTAATTCTCGGGAATTATAAATGGATAAACTATCTGGAAGTGAACCGCAGAGTGAATAACTTTGGAAGTGGACTCACTGCACTGGGTCTGAAGCCCAAGAACACCATTGCCATTTTCTGTGAGACCAGGGCCGAGTGGATGATTGCAGCACAGACCTGCTTCAAGTACAACTTTCCCCGTGAGTGCCTTGTGCCTTTGACGGGGGCGGGAGGAGCGTTGCTTACATGGGATGTCTGTTCTGAGATGCTTCTGTGTTCAAAGTGGGCTGATAATATAACTCATTGGTAAAGCATTTTTATAGCATACTTGAGATCCTGGATTTGTTCCTCAGCACTGAAAAAAGAACAATTACACAACACACACACACACACACACACACACACACACACACACTTGAAACAAAGAAGTGGTCCTTAGCTAATTTTCTGTGTGATTGTGTCCAGAAAAACATGACTAGGGGCTAAGAAGATGGTTTGGTAGATAAAACACTTGCTGTGCAAGTGTGAGGATCCGAGTTCAAATCCCTAAAACCAACATAAAGCTGACTGTGGTAGCATAAGTCTGCACTCTTAGCTTTCCTAAGGTAAGTTGAGAAGCGGAGACATGAGAACCCTTGGAAGCTCATGGGCCCACTAGCCTGTATGCACAGCAGAACAATAGCAATAAGAGACCCTGTCTTAGAGTGGGAAGTGAAGACCAACACCCAACATTGTCCTTGGATTTCCACACACAAACATACCACGGGCAAATATGTGACCTTACACACACATGCACACACGCATACACACTTAGTACATATACAGAATAGATAAATTAAAAATAAACTAATTGCTCCTCTTAAGGATATCAACTTCTAAGAGTTAGTTTGGGAACTGAGACCTAACTATGTATAATTCAGAATTTCATTTTTAAAGTAGAAATGAATGATAACTAGAGACTGTACAGCAAAAAGTGATTGTTTGCAAATATGTAGTTCGTTTTTGCACTTTGAACCCTCTTCTTTGACTTCCTTCATTTTACATACAAAGTCGTTCGCCAGCTAGAACTGGCATCAGAGAGAGAAATGGAGTAAAACTGGGTCATGTTTCATGTAAATGGAACATTCTCCCACAGCAGTTTCTGGTTGCTAGGCATTTGTTTTTGCTATTGTACAAGCAATACATTTGTTTCAAGATTTTTAGTTTTAACTTTTGTGTCTATGAGTATATGCCTACATTTTATGTAATTGCACTGTGTGCGTGCTTGATGCCCGAAGGCCTGGAAGTGGAATTGCTTATGGGCGTAAGCTGTGGATGTTGTGAACTGAACCTTTGTTTGCTGCAAGAGCAGCAAGTCTCTTAGCCACTGAGCCTCTACAACCTCACGGACTAAGTTTTAAAAATTGAGTTCATAGACATGCCTGTTGTACCCTAAGTATTTGGATCTTTCAGGAAATAGAGTCCTGAAGGTTAAGTGTAGGAATCAACTTCCATTTTAAACAAAGGTAGATGCTACAAAAATGTTCTCATATGTCCTGATCACTCACCTTCAACAAACAGTAGTGAAAGGTGCCTGCTACTGACTGTACAGGCTATTTCTAGTTACTAGCTGAAAGCCGAATCTCCCTGTCTGTTCTAAGTTCAGCGGATGTTACTCAGTTTTAACTGATTTTGCTGTTAGTTTCTTCTATAGTCTGGTGAGTCCTCTGGAACAGATCTACCAGCCTTGCCCAAAGTATGGAGATCACCAATGGGATTAGAAATTGAACCCACTGGGAAAGCTTTTTGGAAGGAGTAAGGGCATTGTTTGTGGGTGACCTTCTGACTTGAGATCTTGAAAATTTTCTAAAATTGGCTTATCCATTCTTTTGGGCAATGAGCAGTGAAAGGGAAGTCATTGCTGGGCTGACCTCTGACCCGACTTCTCCCAGGGCCTGTTGGCTTTAAATATCTCAATTTGATTCCTGGGAATTTGTATGACTAAGTTTGAGGTACCTGGAGACTATGAGATCAAATCACATCATAAAGTACTTTTGTGTCTGTGGTGTTGCTGTCCCTAAGGCCTGGCTTAAATAACATATCAGCCTCAAAGGTGTTAAGTGTACAATTTTCATGTTTACTTTTTATTATGTAGTCATGACTTTATATGCCACACTTGGCAAAGAGGCTGTAGTTCATGGACTAAATGAATCTGAGGCTTCCTATCTGATTACTAGTGTTGAACTTCTGGAAAGCAAACTGAAGGTGAGTATGAAATTTAATTATTTTAAATTTTAACCAATATATCAAAACATGCTATGTGTATAATATATGTGGTACCATGTGACATTTCAATATATGATCACATTCTGTAATACTCAGAACATCTTAAAACATGTTCCCATACACATTTTTCATTTTTTATGATGAACACATTGAATATACTTTTGAGCTTTTTGAACTATATGGTACATTATCAGTATAGCCATTTTGCTATGCAGTAACAGCATATCTTCTTGCTCCATATTCAATTTTAATTTAGTATCTATTAATCAGCTTCTCTATCCTGCCACTCCCCCTGTACTAGCCAGTCTCTACTAACTATTATTCCACCCTCAACTTCTTTGATAAGGTTTTCTTACATTCCACATGGATGAGATTATATGCTGCTTACTTTCTGTGTCTGACTTATTTCACTTACACTAATGATCTGTAGCTGCAACCAAGTGGTTGTAAATGGAAGGCTCTCATTTTGTTTATGTCTGAATAGCTTTCCAGGGTCTATGTGTAACATGTTTTCTTTATCCATGCATCATTTGATAGACTATACGCACTCCTTGACTATTGTGAATAGTAAGGTATTGAACATGAGAGTATACATGTCATTGACATAGTGGCAGGATTTCTGATAGTAAGATTGTTGTAGTCATACAGTAATTTTATTTTGAAGTTTTGGAGGACCTTCTGTACTGTTTTTTTTTTTATAATGGCTATGTTAGTGTAGATTTTCATCAACAGGGTAGTACAAGTATTCCCCTTTCTCTACAGACTTACTGGGAGGGCCTTTTGCCTTTTCCGTGATAGTCAGTCTCTTGGGAGAAAGGTGAAATTTCCTGTGGCTTGCATTTCTCCGATGATTAGCGATGCTGAAGATTTTTTCTTCTATGTGCTGTTTATTTGTATGCCTGTTAGTGAGCCGTTGATGTAGCTGTTTTCCATTACTTGATCTTTGGCTTGTTGCTGCTGAGTTTCTGGATATATACTATGTATCACATGCAGGGTTTGCCATATTTTGTCTCTTATCATTCTGATTATTATTTTCTTTACTGTTTAGAAACTTTTCAGTTTCACATAATGCCATTTGTATGCTTGTTTGTTTTTTCTATGCTTCTGCGGTTTATCCAAACACTAAACAAAAACAGCAACAATGAAAGAGACCTTTGAACTTCCGTGTCCTGAAAGCTGTTTTCCAGTCTGAACCACCTCCCCGGGCCCTGTTGAGCCTCCTGTAGAAGCAGTTATCTTCACCTTCATCTTTTGTATTGAAGTCCATTTTAGTTATCTCACTTCTTTGTTATTTCTTTTCTTTGGCTATATTTTTGGGTTTGATTCATTGATTTCCCATGTTTTTGAGACTTGACAATGGTTTGTTGCACTTTCTCCTTTTTTTAATGTAGAATTTGATTTACTATAAACTTCAATTTTGATACTATTTTTTGTAGCCTGTATATTTTAATATTTTATATCATCATTTTCATTTATTTCAAGAAAATTTTAAATTTCGTTTTGATTTTTTCCATTGTTTAAGTTATTTAATGTTTGTATTTGTGTAGTTTATAAGACTTATTCATTATTGTACTATGGTCAGAATAGATACTTGACATACTTTTCATTTTAAAAGTTCATTGGAACTTGTTTTGTGTCCTGTCCAATTATTTGTCATGGATTATGTTCCCTGCATTGGTAAGTGGGGACATGGTGTAGGGAGTATGGGAGATATGGGGAGGAGAACTGCAAAAACACATTTTGTTCAAAGTATCATGCTATGAAACACATTATATAGTGATTTAAAAGTGAAAAATTATTTTAAGAAGAAAATGTTTATTGAGCAGCTGTTGGAAGTTTTGTAGGTGCCTATTAGGTTTATTTGTTCTAGATTTTGTTGTTATTGACTTTCTGTATGGATAATTTGTCCATTGCTCAAAGTGGGTTTTAGGCTGTCGCTATATTGAAATCAGTCATCCTCTTTCTGAATACTTGTTCTATGCATTTGGTGCATATATATTTAGAATTGTTTTCCACTTGCACAATTGATCGCTTAATTTTTTTTCTTTATTCATTTGGGGGGAGGCACATACCACCATGTACATGCCTAAGTTAGAGAACAATTTGAGGGAGTTGCTTCTTTCTACTCTGTAGGATCTGGAGATCTAACGCAGGGCATCAGACTTGGAGGCAAGCACCTTTACCCATCAAGTCATATTTGCCAACCTTGATTCCTTTATCGTCATTTAATGAATGGCCTTCCTTGTTTCTTTTTACTGATTTTGATTTAAAGTCTATTTTACCTAATATATAGTATATGCATGTCCTTTGAACTGTGAGTTTCTTGTATGCACCATATATTTAGGTAATCTTTTATTTATTTATTTATTTTTTAAGACAGGGTTTCAAGATAACTTTGGCTATCTTGGAACTAGCTCTGTAAACCAGACTGACTCACAGAAATCCACCTGTTTCTGCCTCCTGAGTGCTCAGATTAAAGGCATGCGCCACCACTGGCCAGCTAGGTAATCTTAATTCATTCAGTTATTCGGTCTTTTGACTTTAATCCATATGCATTCCAGTTAGCTATCAGAAGGTAGGGCTTTGCTACAACCAGTTTGTGGGTCATTTTCTAGTTTTGTTAAGGTCTTATCTCCCTCCCTTAAAATCCTGTGTGTGGTTAAGTGGTTTACTGTAATGATATATTTTGGACCCTTACTTTTTATTTTTGTTTGCCTATCATTGGTTTTTGCTTTGTGGTTACCATGGAGCTTACAAAAGTACATTTTGTGACAAGCTACATTAAGATGTTAAGAGATAGGCATATGATCAGAATGATAAGAAACAAAAAGAGAAAATATGCTATTAAGAAAAATATACATGTACTCCTTTTCTGCTGCATTTAAAACTTTGTCTTGTCTAGTTTTGCATTTTTTTATGTTGCCTGTCCCTTAGTACCTTAATGCTATTATTTTTGAATATTTTGGTCTTACCACTTTTCATCCTAAAGAGATCGGTGGCTTATTTAATATGATTACAATATTAGAGCATTCTGAATTTGTCTATAATTACCACAGTGAAATTTACTTAGTGAACATTTTCTAGTCCTATCAGTTAATATTAATTCTGATAGCATGCCAAATTGAATAGCTTGGCTTTTATTTCCATTCAACAGGCGGCCTTATTAGAAATCAATTGTGTTAAACATATCATTTATGTGGATAATAAGACTATCAATAAAGCAGAGTACCCTGAAGGGTTTGAGATTCACAGCATGCAATCAGTAGAAGAGTTGGGATCCAAGCCAGAAAACTGTAAGCGAATCAGTTAATTTCCTCATATATTTGTGTTTGTTATTTTAGCAGATTAATAAAAGAAGTGCCGTTAGTAAAAATGCTTGAAGTAATCAAGATTGTGTATGACTGGAATTTTCTTTTCTTTTCTCCTGAAGAAGGCAATCTTGACTGAATTTCTTGAAGACAGCAAGCAGAGTTTAGGTTAGAGATGAGGCAGGTTTATTTTCTTCAAAAACAATGGTTGGAATATGCATTTGTATCATGGAAAAGAAGCCTAGGGGACAAATATTTTAATCTTTTTACTGCTCTGGACAGTAAGCATGCCTGTTACTCACTTTAGAAGAGTACATCCTTTGAAAAGACAGTCCAGAGCAAGCCAGTGCCTCTTCTGACTTGATGCACAGAAATGTAAGAGATCCGTGGAGATTGATACTGTGAGGTTGGTGCGTATTTGACTGGGAAGTTGTGATCAGCAGGGTCTGTTACTGCCAGTTCTGATGATTCACCCGAGCATGACACAAAAGCCCAGAAGATATCTTATCTGTCCTCACAGTTTTGAGTCAACATGAATCGCTGGCATCCATATGTATCCAGGATAGATAGGATTCATATATTTTGGGGATACTAGTTTACCTGAGAGTCATTATCATAATGTTCCATCATACTTGCAGTTAGTATATATAGAGATATTAGATATGTTGTAGTCTGTGATACCATACCTGAGTAGGTAAAGTATTATTATGAGGACAAATTTTGCATGCTTACTCAGAAATAGACAGATGAGAAATGTCATATTGTGTGCCTGGTCTGAGAAGCACATACTGTGCCAGCAAGTACCAAGTTGCTGGTGTTCCGTCGATCCTCAGATGGGTCTTTGTCCCGGAGCCCACCAATGGCCATGAACATCCTGAAGGAGCAGTCAATATAACCTGTTTAAGTATATAACTTTGACTTTGGTCCTTTCAGTGGTATACCTTGTCATCACCCCAGACAGAGTTTCTTTGTGTAACAAGTCTGGGTTGTCCTGGATCTTGCTCTGTAGACGAGGCTGGCCTCGAACTCAGAGATCTGCCTACCTGTCCCTCCTGAGTGCTGGGATTAAAGGCGCACACCACCATGCTGGGCCCTGAACCATTATTTAGAGCTAAGGAATCTATACAGGATGCTATCCTCTCAAAGCCTTCCCAGTTCTGTACATAACTCTGTGAAAAGGCTAGATCAGATGGGGCTTAGGTTGAAAATCCTGAAAATAGACCAGATTGAATTTGAAATCTTTCAGTCAATCAGAATTTGATAACCGTTTTTACTGTTTATTAATCCAGGCTAATTTTTGAAATCTGTGTCATTATGTAAAATGAAAATACCTTGTCAAGTAATTTACCTTTTAAAGTGAAGAAAATGTACTTTTTTGTTTGTGTAGCAAGCATTCCTCCAAATAGACCAACTCCTTCAGACATGGCCATTGTCATGTACACCAGTGGTTCTACTGGCCGACCCAAGGGAGTGATGATGCATCATAGCAATCTGATAGCTGGAATGACAGGCCAGTGTGAAAGAATACCTGGACTAGGGTAAGAGGACCACTCACCTTCTTTAGAAATATATACTGAATTCATTTAAGTTATGAATTTAAAATGTCTTTTCAACGTGCTTAATCTTGTTTCTCTTACTTTATTGTAGCCCAAAGGACACATACATTGGTTACTTACCTTTGGCTCATGTGCTGGAATTGACAGCGGAGATATCCTGCTTTACCTATGGCTGTAGGATTGGCTATTCTTCTCCACTTACATTATCTGACCAGGTGACAAACTCTGTCTTTGTTCATGCTTTATTTAGTACCAAGGTCCCTGTGGCATTAAACATAGCTTTCCACGAATAATGTGGTACTAGCGTTGATTCAGGCCAATATTTTAAAATTACTTTGAAGTAATTACTTTCATCTTTGTATATTAGATTTTACTCTGGAGAACTTATAATGGAAAATAGATTCACTGAACCATTGGTGTACTGTTTAGGACTTTTAACTGGCTCCTGGGAAGAGGTGTACATTTTAGGGTCTAGTTTTCTTCTGAATGTATTCTGGACCAGTGCCGCTAGCCCAATCTTTAAATAGAAATTGATTAAAATTACATGTACAGTTTTTGCTTTCTTGTTTTATTTAGCCCCACATTTCAGGTTCCTCATACCTATGCGACCAATTGCTATCGTGTTTGACAGCACAGATATCAAATATTTGGCCATTGCAGAACATTCTGTTGGCTAGCATTGTAGCATCTCCAATGCCTGCCCTCAGCTTTACATTGACCCAGGTTCTGCCTTCTCTCCTGTTCATAGCAGAAAGCCCAGCAATAGACAGCACTCACTCATAGTTTAGGCACATTTGAAATCACACACAGAAAACCGCTTTAAGAGAAAAATAATTGCATTCTACCAGTAGAACCTATGTGATACTTCTTGTGGATTTCATTGCTTCTCGAGAGCTAGTTTTCTTTCTTTTATTAGACTGGTTCATATATCATTTAAAGGAGATTATTATTTTTATCTACTTTTTTTCAGTGAATGACTTTATTAATCTTCTACCTGTGATTAATCTGAAATTTGAAAGCCCAAGTGTTATTTATGCATGAAAGAAATTGTGCACATTGATGTGTATATATATGCTTGCTGCCACTTGGCCACTGGCATGGTCCTTACTGTGCTACTAACCAGAATATTATCAAATTATTATTTCTTTTTTTTTTATTTTCGAGACAGGGTTTCTCTGTAGTTTTTGGTGCCTGTCCTGGAACTAGCTCTTGTAGACCAGGCTGGCCTCGAACTCACAGAGATCCACCTTCCTCTGCCTCCTGAGTGCTGGGATTAAAGGCATGCACCACCACCTCCCTGCCTTGAAACCCTGTCTTGAAAAACCAAAAAAAAAAGTCTTCAGTTCTGTTTTAGTTATAAATCTCCTTTAATGGGGCTTTGAAAAAATTCTTAATTCACTAACATGTCTAATTCTATTTTTATCCTGGATCAGTTTCTCTTCTAGGGAAGGCTGTGATGTGCTAGAAACCAAGCCAACAGAGTAAAATAGAAAAATCATGTACTCTTTGCATTTGCACTAGATGCCATAATAAAAGATTAAATCCTATGTGTAAATTCTGTCCTTGTTATTAATACTTGAATTAGACCCACACACACGCATTTTTGCTAACATCTGTTTCCCTAATTGTATTTTCTTTTTCATTAATGTAGTCCAGCAAAATCAAGAAGGGAAGCAAGGGTGATTGTACTGTACTGAAACCCACTCTTATGGCTGCTGTTCCGGTGAGTACAGAAGGGTCAGACAAGTAGAAAAGAGTCACTCGCACAAGGTCTTGCTTACACTTCTAATTTTTTTTAAAAGGTAATCCCTTTAGGTATTTGTGTACACTAGCAGAGTAATTTTACTTTGAACTGTTGGCATAGATGATCCTTAAAACCGTAGAAATGACAAGGTTGGAATGTATACTGTGAGTGTTTGCTGATACTTGGAAATTCAAGATGAATTAGAGCAGAGGCATGGTCCTAATATCTTAAAGCAGAAATGTGCTGTCTAGATCATTTTGTTTAATTTTGTAACTAAAAGCTAAGCAGTCCTGCGGCATCGCCGAGTACCGAGGCAGTATTTCCAAGGTTCTGGGACAGGTTGGTGATACAGCTGCATTTAAGGGGCAAGCAGCTCACATGATACAGTATCTGACCTGTCATCTTCCTGTAGTTCTTCCTAAAGAAATCTACTGATTTCCCAAAGCTCCCAAAAGAGTAATGTTCTATTTCAGATATGTAAAAATTCTTTTAAGAGTACTGGCTGCTCTTCCAGAGGTCCTAAATTCAATTTCCAGCAACCATATGGTGGCTGACTATCATTTGTAATGAGATCTGGTGCCCTTTTCTGGCCTGCAGACATACATACAAGCAGAACACTGTATACATAATAAATGAACAAATAAATAAAATATTTTTAGGAAATGGCTAAGACCCCTGCCATATTGTAAGAGAGTCACAAGGTCATAGTAATAAAGAGAAAAGTATCACGATTTGATTCAACACAAGTATTTTTCTGCTATATGAAAATACAGAAATTTATTTGAAATAATTTTTTAATTATGAGAGCTGAATGAATTCTTTATTAAGATTTTTGCACACAATTTTACTAAATTTCTTTGAGAATAATACAGTATATTTTGATCATACTTTGCTCCACTTCCTCAATTTCTTCCAGATCTACTTCTGTATTATCTCCCTACCCACCCAACCTCGAGTTTTATGATTCATTTTATTGTTGATGATGTTGTTTTGCTTTAAACTATTGAGTCTAGTAGTTGTGCCCAGTTACTCTTGGCAATGGGACCTGTGTAGTTGAGTTACCCAGGGTTACACCACTGAAGAAATCTGACTCTCCCTTTTCCAGCAGCAAATGCTTCTTAAACTGCCAGTAGGATTTTCTGCCTTGCCTCCATGATGGGATTTTGTTTGGTTTGATCTTGCATAGATCTTTGACATGTTGCAATCACTGTGGGTTGTTAGAGGAAACTGCCCAGACGTGTCTGGATTTCTTGAAGTTACTGCCACTTCTGTCTTCTATGGTCTCTCTACCTTCTCTTTTGTGAAGATCGCTGAGCTTGCTCACACCCCGCGCCACCCCCACCCCCACCCCAAGCATCCACAGTCTGTTTTCTTCAAGCTGATCAGTTGAGGATCTGTTAATCACTTTAGGGGTTTGTTTTGTTTTTTAAAGATTTTAGATCAACTTAATATCTTGAACCAAAGTAAATCTTACACTTGCATTGAGTCTTTTTAAAATTAAATTTTTGTTTTTATTTTAGATTGTATTTGTTTATAGGGTGTGGAATGCTAATATCTATTATCTTTAGTTTCTTAGATGTAGTGAACAAGTCAGTAAAATTTGTTCTGTAGTGAAGGAAATAGGTATGTCCATTATTCTAGATAGACCTCTGCCTAAGAGGTATCAATGTATCATCAAACCAAGACTATCTTTAGTGATGTTGTTGTAGAAGGAGCTGAGCAGGCCTGCTTTTCGTCCCGCCTGGCTCCCACATGGTTAGCTTTACACCCGAAATAATCACAGAAACTGTATTCTTTTAAACACTACTTGGCCCATTAGCGCTAGCCTCTTCTTGGCCAATTCTTATATCCTGATTAACCCATTTCTAATAATCTGTGTAGCACCACAAGGTGGTGTCTTACCTGGAAAGATTCAGCATGTCTGACCCAGCGGCTAGCGCCATCGCATCTGACCTCACTTCCCTTCTTCCCAGCATTCTGTTCTGTCTACTCCACCCACCTATGTTCTGACCTACCAGGCCAAGCAATTTCTTTATTAATTAACCAATGAAAGCAACAGACAGATGACCTTCCCACATCATGTTGTAATTTTTTTCAGATTGTTGAATGTTTTGTTTATCTTGCAGGAAATCATGGATAGAATTTATAAGAATGTTATGAGCAAGGTTCAAGAGATGAATTATATTCAGAAAACTCTATTCAAAATAGGATATGATTACAAATTAGAACAAATCAAAAAAGGATACGATGCACCTCTTTGTAATCTGTAAGTACATTTCAAAGACCCTGTAGTTTGAACCTGTATCGTGTTCTGTTTAGTATGGTGTAGTTTTGAATTCAATTTTTGATAGTTTCCAGTCTGGCTTCAAACTTCTTGACCTAAGTGGAACCAGCCTGAGCTTTCAAAAAACCTGGCACCATGAGCATGTATCAACGTGCTTATAAAGTTTTGTGTTTTGAAATCTAAAAGTTGACCGAGTAAATGGCAAATTCACTTGGCAAATTCATTTAGTTTGATTACCATCATAATTAAAACCTCAATTTAGTCTATATTCTCAGTCCTACTGTTTATACAAGAATGAATAGACTGTGGACTCTGAATTTGATACTTTGACTAATTTTAATAATGAAAAGTAATTATAAATGGGTCTATTAAAGAAAACTGAGCTGGATAGTGGCGGTGAACACCTTTAATTCCAGCACTCGGGAGGCAGAGGCAGGTGGATCTGTGTAAGTTTGAGGCCAGCCTAGTCTACAAGAGCTAGTTCCAGGACAGGCACCAAAGTTACAGAGAAACCCTGTCTCGAAAAAAAAAAAAAACTGGAATATAGTTTTGAATAAAAACATTGAAGTTTAAAAGTTTGTGTGTATAATATATCCTCATATGTACTCATGAAAGCTGTTTTCTGAATTGTTCTACATATTATTTTCTCTTTTATTGTGTTCATAAAATTATAGTGAGTTAATGAACATAGCATTTAAAGTGCAGCAGTGGAGTTTTTCATGAGAAGGCTCAGAAGATGGTTGACTGAATGTTTCATAGAAAGCTTAAACCTTTTCCCTTGACATCATTTTCTTTTGTTAGCATGTGTCAGAGTATGATCCCAATACTGCACATGTGGATTTGAGCGATGGGATGCTTTTCTGGCTAATGGAGAAGGTGTTATTTGCTGTTGTTGCCTCCCATTACCATATTATTTGGAAATGTCTGTGTTTAGCCCGTTTGGAGAACTTTATCACAGTTTTTCAGTTAGCTGGGTACCAAGAATAATGTGTGGTAGTGAGACTATCACTTCTTTCCGTTCTTTTCAAGGTTACTCTTCAAAAAGGTGAAGGCCCTGCTGGGAGGGAATGTCAGGATGATGCTGTCTGGTGGGGCCCCTCTGTCTCCACAGACACACCGGTTCATGAATGTCTGCTTCTGCTGCCCCATTGGCCAGGGATATGGACTGACAGAGTCATGCGGTGCTGGCACAGTTACTGAAGGTAAGCATTGTTCATGTCCCAGCATCACTGAGACAGCTGAGCTTACTGTAGAATTCCTTTTTTCCTTTTCAAGACAAACACAATTCCTTTTAAGTAATGCAGGGTTTGTTATAAGCATTAGTTTCATAAATTGCTTAAAGTATCATGTATCTACCCTTGATTTTTAAGCCTCATAATTCTGTCATGTTGGTTTAATTTTCCTTCTGTAAATACTTTTTAAAAATATAATTTTGATTCTATCAAAATGTCATATATTAATGCAACAGATTTTTGTCATATCTATACAATACTACATCCCTTCAACTTCCCCTATGGCTCTCCACTCTTTCTCCCCTGCTTTTATTATCGAGAGCCACAAGTCCACTGATTTGTAGGCAACCTAATAAATAGCCAATAGCTCCTTTGCCAAGGGTGGAGGCTCGGGGACCTTTTGGAATTTTGACTGGCTTAGTCCTCTGCAGGTCTTGTATAGAAAGCATAGCTGCTGTGAGTTGATATTTACAACAGCCATGTCATGTTCAGAAATGATCATTACACACACATACACACAGCCACTGGCTCTTCCCTGCTTTCTTCTCCCTCTGAGATGTCCCCTGCACATCAGATGGAAGAAGATGGTTAGTGTTTGGTGGTTCTCAACTTTCCTAATGCTGCAACCCCTTAACACAGTTCCTCATGTTGTGGTGACTCCCAACCATTTTCTTTGCTACCTCATAACTATAATTTTACTTCTGTTATGAATCATAAAATTATTTTTGGAGGTAGAGGTTTGTTGAAAGTGTCGTGACCCAGAGGTTAAGAATCACTGTTAGAGATGATTCCTTCATGACGGAGCTCTCAGAGCTCCTTACACTAGGCCCTTAAAGCCATTATGGTTCTCTGAATTAACCACTACCCACTGCAAGAAGAGGTTCCCTAGCCAAATTTGAGAGTAGCACCGATCTGTGGGTATGCACTCAAAATAGAAAGTTTAATGATAATTGCCTTGCACAGTTGTGGTCTTGGAATGAAGTGTCCTTCCTACACCCCACTTTTTAACTTTGTCTTCTGTTACCCTCGATTTCCAAAGGCAGGGTGTCTCAGCCTTGAACCTATTCACATTTTTGGACCACATAATTCTTTGTTTTTGCATTCTCTTGTCCACTGAAGGGTGTCAACAGTCACATTGCTAGTAGTAACCTGCCCACCATGTTGTCAAAATGAAACCTATCTCCAAATATTGCCACCTGTCTCCTTAGCACACAAAAAATCATGCCAGGTTGAGAAACATTTTTTTCTGGTTTGAACCTATGTGGGTTTGTAATGCCTCGCAGTCTGAATTAATATCTGCATTAGCCCAGTTGATACCAGCTTGTAACGGGAAAAATTTTCTTCAGTAGAGTATTATATTCAAGGACAGGCCTCGTGCTCAGGAGTCTAGACAAAATGGACTTTTGTGTGCGTATGTGCACTTTTTTTGTGTGTGTGGGGGGCATTTCTGCAGCCTAGGAACCTTTTTTGAGTCAGATTACTATCACTTCCTACTGGTTATGTCCAAAATTAATACTCCTTTTCCAAACTGTCAAATTATTGCTAAATTATTTGCCTGTGTCAGTATTATTACGTCTTTAAAATCATTCTCAGAATTAATCAACTTTGAAGTCCTCAAACTGTTTACTGTCTTTAGCTTTCATCAGATCTTCCCATTTGTTCACTAGGTTGATCTTTCCCACCCTTATTACTTCAGTTGGCTCTGAAATGACAGCCCTTACTCCATCCTCTGCTTTGATTTGGCACATCTACCCCACGCACCGCATGGCAGATCAATTGAATCTAAACATACCTTTACCTAATTTTTAATGTGTATTCCATCTAGCACTCATGCATCTATCTAGCCTGTCTTCTCTCTCTAGGCAAGTCAATCGTCTCTCTCTTGACATAGACTTTGGTTCATAACCTCACTATATTTCTTTTCTTTTGGAATGCCCTTTTTGTTGGCTAGTCATAGCTAGTCATTATTGTCCAACTTTTATATGGTCTTTTCTGGCTATATCATTTCCCACTGGTCTTTCTGGTACCCAGAGTCTTACAGTGCTTGTTACAGAAGTCTCCAGATGAAAGCACAGCCAGTGAGCAAAGCAATGCAAGTACTCCCAATGCAGATTAGAGAGTGTGGTCCTAAAAGAGGGAACATACTGGTAGATTTTAATGTGTGTGTGACTATATCTGAGGTAGATGTATCCATGGGGGTGTGGTGAGCATAAGCATTATGGAATGGATTTTTTTTTAATTTTTGGGGTTGTAATTTAATTAAACATTACATTTTTCTTCTCTTTAGCCCCTCCAAACCCTTTTTATCCCCCTCCACAATCTCCTTTGTTTCTTTTCTCCCTATGATTGCCTAGAAAATCCCACAAAATGGGAATGTGAGTTGTCAAAAGTCACAATGTAAATGACATTGTGAATCCAAAGTTTTTTGAGGATCCTTAGGTTTTGCACATTGTGGGAAAATGTCTTGGCTTTGATGCAATGGGAACAGCCTATGCTGTTAAATATCAGGGACATTTAATCGCAAAGGACATTCTCACTATCATGAGACAAAGCATCCGAGACACAGCTGCAGCTTTCCTGGTTCTCTTGTGTTTCTTGGTTTTCTCATATCTAACTCCTTTTTGAGACTACTCAGTGTCCGGTTATTGATTTTATGACTGTCTGTGGGATAAGATAACTGGTAATTTTCCAACCTGGAGCTATTTGGTAAAGGCTGGAGTCTGGACTTGTCATAGGCTCTGTTTAGTGCTGACATCCTTCTAGCTTCTCAGGTCATTTCTGTCATCACTTGTACATGCAGACAAGGACTTACGTGTTCTCCATACTGTTTCACATACATTTCTCCCTGGGTAGCTTGCTGATGGTCAGGTTTCTGAGGGCTGGGTCTCTTCATCTTTTGTATGTTAGCTCACAATGCTTAATATAGTACTGGATTCATAATAAGCCATCTGTGAAGATGTGATTATTGCTGAGAGTAGTCACAGATTGCCAAGGAAGGGCTAATTAATGCCATGATGATGATGATGTTTGAGAACAAATAAAAAGTTTCTTGACCATTCTGTTTGTGACAAGTATTAGTAAACACATTTAATCTCTCCAGTATGCACTTATATGAAGTCGGTGTTTTTATAGGTGAAGAAATGGAGACTAAGAAATTCATAGCGAGGGGACTGGAGAGATGGCTCAGAGGTTAAGAGCACTGGCTGCTCTTTCAGAGGTCCTGAGTTCAATTCCCAGCAACCACATGGTGACTCACACCCTTCTGTAATAAGATCTGGCGCCCTCCTTTGGCGTGCGGGCATACATCGAGGCAGAATGTTGTATATATGTATATTTATTTACTATGGTAAATAAATAAATCTTTTTTTATTTATTTATTATGTATACAATATTCTTTCTGCGTGTATGCCTGAAGGCCAGAAGAGGGCACCAGACCTCCTCGTTTCAGATGGTTGTGAGCCACCATGTGGTTGCTGGGAACTGAACTCAGGACCTTTGGAAGAGCAGGCAATGCTCTTAACCGCTGAGCCATCTCTCCAGCCCCAAATAAATAAATCTTTATAAAAAAGAAATTCATAGCGATAGATCAAGAATTCCCATCACATTCTTTCTTAGCAGAATCCTGAGTAGATAATGATGGACCTAGTTCTTCACTTGTAGCAGAACTTTTTTAAAATGTAATCATCAAAAGTATAGCCCAGAAAAGCAAGAATGCACTGCAGAAATGGAAATCCTAACCCTGAAAAATGAAGAGTTGGCACTCCCCCATGGCTTCTTCTGTCATCTTTTTAGACTGTTTCTGGTGGCTTTGTGTGGACTTCAGAACGATTGTCTACTGATGATTTTGTCGCCTTTTCTCCCACAGTTACTGACTATACTACTGGAAGAGTTGGAGCTCCTTTTATTTGCTGTGAAATTAAGCTGAAAGACTGGCAGGAAGGTAAGAGTGTCCCACAAGATCGAGTGGCTCTAGATATGCTGGAAAAGTCTGCATGCACCCTAGATGTCTGCAGCCTCAGGACTGCCTGCTGCCTGGGATTTTTCTCTGCTCGGTGGGGGACATGTCTAGATTTTAGCCACTGTGGTTTTTTGTGTTTGTTTTTTTTAATTTAGGAAATACCTGATGGCAAGGTGAGGGAAAGAGTCTGATTGGATCTTTCCCTGGCAAGATCCCGACCTTAGCAGATTTCTGTAGTCATTACTCATCTATGTAGCTATTTGCAGTAAATATTTACACAAATACTTACAGAGGCAGTGCATTTAGAGGAAGCCAGAACCATATACATACTATTGATAATTCTTATTACAAAGAGCTAGAGACAGAAGTAAACCGATTTTTCTATGATGGACATGATAAACCATAATAAATATACATTAATTACAGCAAGTTGGTTTATTAAATAAATAGAGAGCCTTGCTATGCCAGAAAGAATTGATAATAACTATCAAACAGTGATTGTCTTGCCCCTGTTTAAATCCATAAAATTTCCCTCCACTTCCCATGGCCTCCATTTCTCTCTTGCTTAATGGTATTGGCTTCCTTAGGTACTTGCTGTCCCTTACCTTTCACTGAAACTTCTCTGAGCATAAAACCTGAGAAGTGTTGATAGCACACATTGATGGTTTACTTAGAACAGCTTTAAGTACTGCTCTTGTTTGGGATGGTTTCATCGTATGAGTCCTGTGAACTCTAAGATTTAACTATGTCCTCTGTGTGTCATGGCAGGTTTGGGTACAAGGTTTTTCAGTGGTGATATTGTAGAGTTCTCCAGTGCCTTCAAATTGTTCACCTGTTAGACTCCTGTAACTGACTAAATGTAAGCTAAGAGTCTCCCATAAACACAATATATAATTAAGAATAGCAAAGCTTTAAGAATTAATGAAGGGTTTTTGAGATGAATGACTGAGTGGCTAAGTGCACTTATTTCCAAGCCTGAAGTTGATCCTCGGGACCCACATAGTGGCAGGAAAGAACCGGCTATCGCAAGTTTTTCTCCGACTTATGTGCAATGTGGCACGTGAATATATGTGCAAGAACACGGGCGCTTGCACGGGCACACACCCAATTGTAATGAAGAATTTATAAAAGCAGATAAATTTTGCTTTAGGATAATAATTGATTTCTTTTTTTTTTTTTTTTTTTTTTTTTTTTAATAATTTTTTTATTAAGAAAAGAAGAAAAAAAAACATAAACAAAAAACAAGTTTCCACCTCCTCCCAGCCTCCCATCTCCCTCCCCCTCCTCCCACCCTTCTCCCCCTCCTCCCACCTTCTACCCCTCCCCCCACTCCTCTCCCCCTCCCTCTCCAGTCCACAGAGCAGTCCAGGTTCCCTGCCCTGTGGCAAGTCCTAGGTCCTCCCCCCTCCGTCCATATCTAGGAAGGTGAACATCCAAACTGGCTAGGCTTCCACAAAGCCAGCACATTAAGTAGGATCAAAACCCCGTGCCATTGTCCTTGGTGTCTCATCAGCCCTCATTGTTCGTCATGTTCAGAGAGTCTGGCTTTATCCCATGCTTTTTCAGTCACAGTCCAGATGTCCTTGGTGAGCTCCCAGTAGATCAGCTCCACTGTCTCAGTGGGTGGGTGCACGCCTCGTGGTCCCGACTTCTTTGCTCATGTTCTCCCTCCTTCTGCTCCTCATTGGGACCTTGGGAGCTCAGTCCAGTGCTCCAGTGTGGGTCTCTGTCTCTGTCTCCATCCATCACCAGATGAAGGTTCTATGATGATATGCAAGATATTCGTCAGTATTGCTCTCGGATAGGGTCATTTCAGGTTCCCAGTCCTCAGCTACCCAAGGAACTAACTGGGAACCTCATGTTGGGCACTTGGGAGCCCCTCTAGGGTCAAATCTCTTGCTCACCCTAAAGTGGTTCCCTTAACTAAGAATTGTGGTTCCGTGCTCCCCTATCCACCTTTCCTTTATCCCAATTCTCCTGATTCCCCAAGTCCCCCCTCCTTCCCTTCTACCTTTTCTCTCCCCATCTCCCCTTACCCCCATCCCACCCCACCCCCAAAATCCTAATTTTCTCCCCGGCAATTGGTTCTACTTCCCTTAGCCAAGAGAATAACTATATGTTTTTCCTTGGGTTCACCTTCTTACTTAGCTTCTTTAGGTTCACCTATTGTAGACTCCGTGGCCCTAATTTATGGCTAGAAACCAATTATGAGCGAGTACATCCCATGTTCATCTTTTTGGGTCTGGGACACCTCACTCAGGATAGTGTTTTCTATTTCCATCCATTTGCCTGCAAAATTCGAGAAGTCATTGTTTTTTACCGCAGCGTAGTACTCTAGCGTGTATATATTCCATACTTTCTTCATCCATTCTTCCATTGAAGGGCATCTAGGTTGTTTCCAGGTTCTGGCTATTACAAATAATACTGCTATGAACATAGTTGAACAAATGCTTTTGTCATATGATAGAGCATCTCTTGGGTATATTCCCAGGAGTGGTATTGCTGGGTCCAGGGGTAAGTTGATCCCGAATTTCCTGAGAAACCGAAACACTGACTTCCACAGTGGTTGCACAAGATGGCATTCCCACCAGCAATGGATGAGGGTACCCGTTCCTCCACAGCCTCTCCAGCAAAGGTTATCCTTGGTGTTTTTGACTTTAGCCATTCTGACAGGTGTAAGATGATATCTCAAAGTTGTTTTGATTTGCATTTCCCTGATTGCTAAGGAAGTTGAGCACGACTTTAAGTGTCTTTTGGCCATTTGAACTTCCTCTGCTGAGAATTCTCTGTTCAGTTCAGTGCCCCATTTTTTAATTGGGTTAATTAGCATTTTAAAGTCTAGTTTCTTGAGTTCTCTATATATTTTGGAGATCAGACCTTTGTCTGTTGTGGGGTTGGTGAAGATCTTCTCCCAATCAGTAGGTTGCCTTTGTGTCTTATTGACTATGTCCTTTGCTTTACAGAAGCTTCTCAGTTTAAGTAGGTCCCATTTATTCAATGTTGCCCTTAATGTCTGTGCTTCTGGGGTTATACATAGGAAGCGATCTCCTGTGCCCAGCTCCTGTAGGGTACTTCCCACTTTCTCTTCTATCAGGTTCAGTGTGTTCGGGCTGATATTGAGGTCTTTAATCCATTTGGACTTGAGTTTTGTGCACGGTGATAGATAAGGGTCTATTTTCATTCTTCTACAAGATGACATCCAGTTGTGCCAGCACCATTTGTTGAAGATGCTTTCTTTCTTCCATTTTATACTTTTAGCTCCTTTATCGAAAATCAGGTGTTCATAGGTTTGTGGGATAATTTTTTTTAATTAAAAAAATTATTTCTAGGTGGTTATACAGTTCATGATAAGCCAAATCCCAGAGGTGAAATCGTGATCGGTGGGCAGAATATCTCCATGGGATATTTTAAAAATGAAGAGAAAACTGCAGAAGATTATTCTGTGGATGAAAATGGACAGAAGTGGTTTTGCACTGGTGATATTGGAGAATTCCATCCTGATGGGTGCTTACAGATTATAGGTCAGTGTATTCTCTTCTCTATAGTATCTTTCATTTTGTGACTTCAGTGAGCCTGAAAGACAATATAGGTCCGTTCATCCACAGGGTCGATGGATTAATTGGTTACAACTTTCTGCAAGTTACTTTACTAATGCCCTCATGCTTGAGCTCTATCTTTACCCCAACCTCACAGGGCAGCTGCTGGTGTTGGATGAGTTTATAAATGTAAACTGTTCAGAGAAGTAGTTGAATCTTTTTAAGTAGTAGTAATAGTGGTAGCAGTCTTTGAGGTGGGGAAAATGGACAGGAAAAAAATAACTGATTCAGTGGGTAAACCAGGGGGCCAGAGGTTGAGGCATTGGATATCCTTTTTTTTTTTTTGATCACTTTCTGGCTTATTTTGTGACATTGTCTCATTGAACCTGAAACTCATCAATTTGTCTGGACTCCCTGACCAGTAATTTTTAGGAATCTACATGTCTATGCCTTTTTCCCAGGACTGGGCTTATAGTTACATGCCACTGCCCAGCTTTGATGCGGGTGTTGGATATCTGACTAAGGTCACTATGCTTTCATGGCAGGCACTTTATAGACTGACCATCTCTGTAGCCCATGTGTGTGTGTGTGTACTACAGAATTTTTATTATGTTGATGCCGTGCATACAACCTTACAATTGTGCCTTATAGACAAAAGTAAACAATTGTGATCCAAATATATAAATATTGTTAACACAGATATGCACATAAACCATGCATGCGCACAAGATTTTCACAGTGTTGCTGTAGGTTTAAAATGGAAAAGGAAGCCGTTAGATTTAGTAGAATGTCAGAAAGGTTCATTGTAGAGAAGTCCCTGTCACAGTCTTTTTTAGAAAAGCAATTTGTTTTACACACGAGTATAGTGCATGTTGATCACAACCCTCCTCCCTCATCCTCCTACTCCCCTGCCTCCTTGCTATTGCTCTTGGTAGGCAGCACATCATTCATGCAAAGGATTGTCAGCAGGCTGACAATGATTCAAGTTGAGGCATCCTATGACGGTACTTTCTTGTGGCACTGTCACTTTACAAAGAAAATGTCAAATGGGGAAGATGGGAATTAGCATCTGTTGAAGTGCTGATATGCAAGATACTATGACATGCTTCTGGGAGGTCGGCAGCGTGATCCCTGCCATAAACGAGGTGGAAAGATGTTAACTGAACCGCCAACCATTGCGGCCTATACCAGACGAAGCTCCCATTCGAATTTAATTCTCCAAGTTCTGTTTTTTCCCTTACCTTCACTATAATCAGTTCGGAGAAGATGATTTTTACTAACCTTTTCATGCAGTGTTTTGATCAGGTTTCTACTTCCTCCAAGTCCTCTCGGATCTTACCCACCCCACTTCGTGCTCTCAAACACTTGCACTCTTTCATTGGGGGTAGGGAAAAAAAGACCATGGAGTCTTCTTTTTCTGTGTGGGCTAACTACTCTTAGGGATGGGGCCTGCCCTGCTACGTGGTTGATATACCCAGTGACACTCCACTGGAGAACTGATTGGAGACAGACTCTTGCTATATACCTCAGACTGGACTTGAACCCACTATGTAAACCACACCTGTGCAGAACTTACGACACTCTTGCCTTACACACCGGCTGGATCTTTATAAGAATACCTGAGTCACTTTTTTTAGTGATATGCATGGGAAAATTATATATATGGCAAGATTTTAGAGGAAATGCCTTTGTAAATAAAGACTATGGCGATAAAATTGAAATAGAGTCAGAATTGTGCATTCCTTAATGAAACATTGTGAATCTGTTTTTTTTTTCTTGAAAATAGATTCTTCGTTCATACAATACATCTGACCACAGTTTTCCCTCCCTTCACTCTTCCCAGCTGCTCCTCACTCCCCTCTCCCCTGGATTCACTTCCCTTCCATCTTCCTTCAGAAAAGAGCAGGCCTCTGAGAGACAGTGACCAATGTCCTATTTAACCTGCGGATCCATATTTTTTTATGATTCTAGATCGTAAGAAAGATCTGGTTAAGTTACAAGCAGGAGAATATGTGTCTCTTGGGAAAGTAGAAGCAGCCCTGAAGAATTGCCCACTGATTGACAACATCTGTGCTTTTGCCAAAAGGTATCTCTTTGTTTATTTGCTTGCTCGCTTGATTTCTTTGTGTAGCCTTGGCTATTCTAGAACTATCTGTGTAGACCAGGCTGACTTGTGCCTCTCAAGTGCTGAGATTAAAGGTGTGAGCCACCACTGCCTGGCTGGCGACTCTTTTTTTAAAAGTATTATATGTATTTGTTTATTTGTTTGTTTGTTGGGGGTGCTCATGTGGGTCAACTTGTAGGAGTTCTCTCCATCACCATGTGAGTGAGTCCTGGAGAACAAACTTAGGTATCAGGCTTGATCACTATTTTGTCAGCCAAAGAGTAGTTGTGTTTTGTGCTTCAAATATTTACAGTATTAGGAACATTATAAAATCAATTTGGTTGTGTATAAGCATGCAGATACCATCAAACTCCACTTAGAATTTTGATTTGGGTTGGGAAAATTAACATGAATGTTCTTGGATTTATTTAACAGCACAGATACCATTTCAGTAACATATTATAGTTTTTTATTAGACATCTACCGTGTCTTGCTAAGTGTCTATTTAACTTATGCTGCAAGTTCTTTCATGTAGGATTCATAGCAGCTGAGACTTAGCATGAATAATTTCTCTAAAAGTTTACTCACCCCATGATAATACACAGTTAATACATGATGGGGTGAGTTTTTAGTTCACAGTTTTCTAAGTTAAAAGCCTGCAAGATTGAGCCACTTGCTTTTTTATTAATATCATATAATATGTATATTTAGAATTACCTTACTGTACTGTTACATTGAATAACTCACAAGTAATTTTGCTCATTTTGATTTCTGTTTTATTATCTAATTTTTTTCAGTGACCAGTCCTATGTGATCAGTTTTGTGGTTCCTAACCAGAAAAAGTTGACCCTTTTGGCACAACAGAAAGGGGTAGAAGGATCTTGGGTTGATATTTGCAATAACCCTGCCATGGAAGCCGAAATACTGAAAGAAATTCGAGAAGCTGCAAATACTAGTGAGTAATGGAATTGCTAAGCTGTTGAAGTCCATAACACTCACCTAATCAATATTTTGTAAATTGCACTAAAACATTCATGCATGTATATAATGCATTTTGGCCGTATCCACTCCTTACTACTGCCATTTGGCCCCCTTAAAACACTTCTCTCCCAACTCTCTAAAACCTCAAGTATTATGTGTATATAAAATCAAGTTACCAATTAAAGAATATGTAATTTTTTGTTCCTTGAGAATTTTTATCATGTATATAATGAATTTTAATCATATCTATACACCTTAAACTTCCCTCCAATCCTCTCCAGCAATGAGTCTCCTTTCTAACTTTATGTCCCCCCCGCCCCCCATCATCTAGATAGGATTTCTCTGTATAGCTCTGACTGTCCTGGAACTAGCTCTGAGGACCAGACTGGGCTCGAACTCACCCACACAGATCTGCCTGCCTCTGCCTCCCAAGTGCTCACTTCTTTCCTTTTTACTAGCCTACTAACTCCAGTTAGTACTGCTCACCTGTGTGTGAGTGTGGGGGCCACCCACAGAAGTGTGGGCAATCTATCAGTGGCCACACACCCCACAAGAGATAGCAACTGCCTGAACTCAACTAAGGTTGGGGGCCTCGTGAGACCCTCTGCCGTCCATTTTGAAATTTTGACTGGCTGGATCTTCTATAGGCTTTTGCAGGTATAACCGTAGCTGCTGTAGGTGCACTTGTTCCACTGCTATTTCTCATAGGAAAGACAGCCTTTCAGAGCTCTCTGCCCCACATCCTCCTCTGCTTCTCTTTTCTAAGCATAATTGGACTTTCCCAGCCAGTGCCTTTCCTCTTGTTTCATTGACTTCATTTTGAAGTCAATAACTTTATTTTTATTTGAAACAGTATCTCATTGTGTATCCCTGGCTAGCCTAGCGCTTACTAATTAAATCAGGATAGCCTGAAATTTGGAGTGATCCTCTCACCTCTGCCTCCCAAGTAAAGAAATTATTTTCAGGTATTCATTTTTCAGGAATGGTAGAGAGTAACCCTGCATTCCCTATGTTGAATTGCGAGCTATTTACCTAGTTTTTAATCTGTCACTTAATTTTAAAGATGAAAATAACAACTTCCTAATTATCAGTTAGCTATAATTGTCAAATACTGGACAATATAGAAAAATATAAAAAAATAACTCAATCCCCTGGCGATTGCCTTCTGGTGCATCCCCTTGACTTTGTCAGAATTGTCTGCATTTTTGAAGTCAGTAGCTGTATAATTTTATTATCATTTTGTATGTCTAAAGTTTTTTCAGTATATAAATATTTAATCTGTTTGATTTTTAGGTGAGTAGCACTTTCTTCCACTTTAATAAAGCTTAACACATCTTTTCTGCAAAATAATATTTTTGAGTGTGTATGTGTTCAGGTGAGTGCATGTATGCTGGTAGACATGCTTGTGGAGGCCAGAGATCATTCCTTGAGAAACATGTACTTTTCTTTCTTTTCAGTGAGACCTGTGACTCCTCCTCAGTAGGCTAGGCCTGGAACGCCAGGGGTTTCCTTACTTCTCCCCAACTCTGAGAGAGCAAGTACATGCCGCCACACCCAGCTTTTCTAGTAGATGTTAGGGGTCAGACTCAGGCCCTCATACTTGTGTGACAGCAGTTTAGTACTTGAGCCATCTTCTCAGCCTGTGTGGGACTGTTTTCTTGGTGTGAATTCCTAGATTGGAATTTTGGAGACAAAAGGAAATGACATTAAAGGTTTGGTTTTTTTTCTCCCAAATACTGAAGTAGTCCCCATATCAGGAAAGCTTCTCTAGCTTGTGGGGAAGAGAGGGTTCAAGACAGGATTTCTCTGTAACTTTGGAGCCTGTCCTAGAACTAGCTCTTATAGACCAGTCTAGCCTCGAACTCACAGAGATTCGCCTGCCTCTGCCTCCTGAGTGCTGGGATTAAAGGCGTGCGCCGTCATACCCACCTGTTCCACTGGCTTTTATTTCTGTTAAAGACATATCTGCTGCCGTATTTCTCTTTATTTTAAAAGACAACAGATTTCATTTTGGTTTTAAAATATAGGTTATAATCTTAGTTTTTTAACCTCAATTTGTCTATTTTCTCCTAAGAACTTTCTGAACCCTGAATGAGCACTATAAAAATTTCAATAACTGTTTTCTATGAAAACAATCACATTATTAAGGTGCTTAAGTATATAGTGTGCCTTGATACTTTGTTCAAGGTAATCAATAACTTTTATGTTACTGTCACCAGGCTCTGAGAACTTTTGACACACATTCTGATTTTTCTTTCAATGTAGTATTTCATAGACTATTTCACCGGAAGTGTCCCTCCAGTTATCCTTAGTCATTCTTTTGAGACTTCTAATGAGGTAGAAGTTACTTGAATCGGTGTGTATTTAACTGTATGAAGCTAACTGGGGAAAGCAAAGCTGAATTGTATATAGAAAGCAGAAGAAAAATCCCAGGTCCCAGCAGACTCAGACCCCCCATAGCTTTCCTGCTTGGAGTGAGATATGTTAATTAAAATAGATGATTTGCATACTGAATGATAATCATAAGCCTGTAACTCTAGCTCCGAAGATCCCAGTTTCTTCCCCTGGCCTATATGGGTTGCACATTTATGTTATACAGGCGCTCTCTCTCTCTCTCTCTCTCTCTCTCTCTCTCTCTCCCCCCTCCCTTTCGCTCTCCAAAAAAAAGCACTTATGCTGCCACCTGCAGGCAATACTTTATAAGTCTCAGTGTTATTCAGAGGAAATGCACTTATAAAATTATTTGTTCTTCATTCCTCTCATTTTTCTCATTTGCTGGCAGTTCTTTCTGTTATTGTCCATTTCCCTCAATACAGAACAATGATTGGGAATTCCCAGAATGAAACCCCTCAAAACATCCCTTTTTATACTTTAAATGGCAGGCACTTCATCTAATAATGAAATATATGAACGTCTAAAAACACGCTTTTGTTGACTTGGATACAGCTGAAACGGTGTACGCATCTTGGTTCATATTTGATTATATAAGTCAACTTATAAGGAATATTCTTCTAGAGGTTTAACTTTTTTATGAAATGATCTAATAGAATTGTGTGTATTTATTGAGGGCTCTTGGTCTAGTCTACAGGTCACAGTCAATAAAACAAAGACCCTAATTTCATGGAGCTTGCTTTGTAGTGGTTGAAACAAATACATAATGTCTTTGCAGGCAAATACAGGCATTGAGCAATGTGTAGTCATAATATAAGACCACACAAACACACATTGGGAGGGGACAAAAATATCTACTCTTCTTTTTTGTTACAAGTAGTTAGAGGAATTCTGGATGTTAATAGACACTTAGATGGAAAGCTGTCCCAGGCAGAGAAACAGAAGTGTGAAGCCTGTGAAGAGGAAGATGTACTGTGAGTCTGTGGGAGCAAAACTGTCCCTACAGACCTTGGCAACGGTGATGATATTGTTAATAACTGTCTGACACATCAATAATTGAAGTTTCTCTTTTATTATGTCTAAGCTGTTGAGTCTGATATGTTTTATTCATTGTTTTTCTCTTTCCATTCTCCTCCCTTCCTCCTTCTTTCTATACTCCTTGCCTCTTTCCTACCCTTCTCTTCTTTTTTTTTTTATTTCAGTGAAATTGGAGCGGTTTGAAATTCCAATCAAGGTTCGATTAAGCCCAGAGCCATGGACCCCTGAAATTGGTTTAGTGACTGATGCCTTCAAGCTAAAAAGGAAGGAATTGAAGAATCATTATCTCAAGGACATTGAGCGAATGTATGGGGGCAAATAAAATGGCGCTCTCTTATTTACATTTGCACGGGAGGTGGCCTGATGGTTTTTCAGTTCTATAGTTTAAGCCTTTGTTGATCTATCTGTTAGAATGTTATATTTGTTATGTCTTCTAAAGATATCAAAACAAAGCAAAACAAAAATCAACCAAAAGTGGTTAAAATAGTTGTATCTACTTTAACTTAGTTTTACGTAGTTCTATTGAAGCTGAAATTGAAAAGACATTTCCCTTACTTTAGTTGTGTTATTAATTTTAGAGCAGAAATTCTGTTTTTAAATTAGGCTTAGATACACTTGTTTTTATAAAGAGAAGATACTTCATGCTAAAGTAAATAAATTGGAGTTGAAGTAGATGTAGTTGAGGAAATTTACAGCTTCCAATATCTGTTGTCTTCCTAGTTCAGAAGTTCCAATAGTAATCATGACAAAATTATGGATTAACACTACTCAAAGCAGGAGTGCCGCAGGACTTTAAAATTCTCTCCCAACTATTTACCTTGAAGGAGAAAAAAATCAGCTGTAATATAATATGGAGTCAGTATTTTAGAAGGTATTATTTTAAGATCATAATTGTCATGTAGGTTAGACATAGAATCATTACAATTTTGTGAATAATTACAGTGCCTGAAGTTAAGAATAAAACAGCATATACATACCAAAAATATCCAATAACATGTTTGAAGGGAAGCTCAGCTGCCCTTTTGGATGCCTGAGAATCAGCACCTGTAATTATCCGAATGTCTTAAGAGGAAAGTACACTTTGTAAAAGTGGCCTTTCTGTGTGTGATCTAGGGAAAGACAGAAACGAAGAGGAAAATGGTAGAGTCCATTGCAATTCAACAAGATGCATTGTTTTGCTGTTAGGAAGCTCATGGAATCATAAAGCTTCGAATCTGGATCCTCGCATAGCCCTGAACCTGGGAAAATAGGTTTAGACTCTGAAATTCTCTTTGATAGTGGGCTTGTTTTTTAAAAGGCTCTTGTATTAATTGTGTAATTTATGGTCTGTTTGCTGTTGCTGATTTGATTCTTGATCAGTAGTGTGCATCTCAGAGAGCCTTTCTTTTGCTTTCATTGCAGCAAAGCGGGTTATGATAAATGACTTCCTCAAAATCTCATTCAAACCTGCGGGTGATTAATTGTTTTGGATGAGCCTGGGGAAGTTAAAGGGAAGAAAACACTGTTACCATTTTTCCTGTTTGTGGAGAGTTAGAGACTGGAAATGCTAGATTTGGGAGGAGGGCAGAGTTACTTGATTAAGGACTGTCTGTGCAGTAACCTGGGGTGTGGGTTTCTTTTTAAATCTTCAGTTAAAGTCTGAGATTATATATTCTTGATAGATATTCACACTTGAACCATAGTTACTGTAAAAAGCAAAAATTCTTAATACTGTTATTCTTTGCACTTTTTCGTAATCATTTTATACACATACGTGTATATATATATATATATGTTGCTTACATTGTGTTGTACAGATGTGGGCCACCACTGCAACAAAATGAGTTCTCTGTGCTCTAAAATATTTATAAAGAAATTATTTAAATGTTATGTATATGGTGGTAATAAGAAAAAAAAGTCATCTGGTATTATAAGCAACAGCGAAGGTTTTTTGTAAAAATTTCTTTTCAGTGTTCTGCAAAATAAAATTGGAGGCAAGTTTTCCCTAAAGTTATATGTGAGTTTTCTCATGCTTCCTCACTTGCCTTTGAAGTGTGAAAAGACATTATTAGCAAGCGGACTACTATTCAGATTCCTGCCCCCTGTGACTCCTGTAAGGGTGGTTTTCTTAGGCTTTTCCAATATGTGTATTCATTTGGAATGGTGACTTTCAATGTGAGTGCATGCGTACTATCTTACTTCAGATAATTGCACACCACCCTCCCCATCTCCCAAAAGCTGGAACACTGCCAACTAATCTGGTGACTGGGTCCTTAAGAATCACAGAATTAACACTTAAGGTTGGGTGCTGCTAATTCTTCATGAAAATCCAAACACGTTAAGGGACCAGGGAGTTGCCACTGCCCCCTGACTTTTCATCAGAAATAATACATGTTTATGTAAACAAATATTTTCCATTTTCATAGTGACTTTTTAAGTATTTGAGCCTAAAGATTTTGATCTCCATTTTTATACCTATTTAAATTGTTCACAGTTATTACATGTCAGCCATCAAATAAAGCTGTACTTAATATTGATTTGAAGTGTGTGCATTTTAAAGTTGAACACTCATGATTTTTGCTTTAATTACATGAAAGAGTCTTGTTTCCTTGATATTTTTATTCCTTTTTTTTTCTGTAGACTGGAGGTATGAATGATTGATCTAGTCTGAAGCGAGGGAGAGTCCTGTTTCTTTGTTCATAGACACTGATTAGCAATCTTTGCCTATACTTTCCGGGAAGCATATGACAAATGTTTCTACAGTGACAAGCTGAGAACAGGATAAAGACAGGGTGGCATTTGGGAACTGGAGAGAAATAATTTTAATTATGAATGTAGTTACAAATTTTGTATTCATATTTGTACTTTCTGTTAAAATGCACGATTATAGGATTGTTATTTAGATTTTTTGTGTTTACCCTTGAAAAGCTTTGTTTGTTTTTATTTTTAAGTTTGCACTTGAATCTTACGAAATAAATCCACCTATATTATCAAACCAACTTGTTCTTACTTACATGTCGGCATAAGTCTACATTTGAATGTTACCTAGGCCTTTTAAGTAGTATGTTTGGGTATGTGGAATTACATTAAGTGGTTAACCTAGCTTGTATTAGTCCCATCCATAAGTTTGGTTTATTTGAACCCAGGGCTATTACTTTAATACAGTGAGTTGAATACCTTGTAATACTGAAACTGGGACAGAAATAGTTATGGCACATGAAATTATTGGTAAATTCTAATAAATATTCATTAACTATAGGCTAAATACCTACATAGAAATATGTGAGTTATATCATGATACACAGACATACATGTTACATTAATAACCTCTATATTTTGTTTTTGAAACTCTGGTCTGGTGACTTTGGGCCTGTTAGCATTCCAGAGCTGCAATTCTCTACCTGGAGAAATGGAGAAGATTGACAACAGGATCCACTCCATAGGTTGATAGGACAGTTGAAAAGAAGTAATCCATGTGCAGGATTGCCAGGACTTTAAAACTGAAATGGTTTTGCTTTCTGAAGGCGGGCCAGTACTACACTGGGCTTGTCTTTTAAAAATATCTCTCTGTATGCGACATTTTAAAACGTTGGGACAGTTGAAAAGAAGTAACCCATGGAAAGTGTTTTGATGGAGGAAGGTCATTGGCTAATAAAGGCACTGCCCTGGCCCATTTTATTGGTTAGAGGATAGGTGGGAGGAGTAAACAGAACAGAACGCTGGGAGGAAGAGGAAGTGAGCTCAGAGACTCCACAGCTCTGGTCTCGGGAGCAGACTCCTCAGAGAGATGCCATGCTCCGCACGCGATCCGACCCAGGATGGACATAGGCTAGAATCTTCCCGGTAAGACCGGTGCTACAGTTTATTAGAAATGGGTTGATCGGGATATCAGAATTAGCCAGTAAGGGCTAGAGCTAAAGGGCCAAGCAGTGATTAAATGAATACAGTTTGTGTGTTGTTATTTTGGGGCATAAGCTAAGCTAGCCGAGCGGGCGGCTGGGGTGCTGGGGACGTGGCCCCGCCGCCCTTATTACTACAGTTGGCGCCCAACGTGGGGCTTGAACCCACGACCCTGAGATTAAGAGTCTCATGCTCTACCGACTGAGCTATCCGGGCTATGGCGCCCCACGTGATGGACTAAATCCACTTAAAAAACCTGAGAAGGCTTAAAAATAAGGGAGAGAGAGAGTTTAACACAGATGTTTGCTGTTTGTTGGTGGCGTGCTGTAGAGAGATTTCCTGATTCGGCAACAATAGCAGAAAAAATGCTGTGTCATTTTAAAGCGCGACTTCCTGGGGCTGTGCTGCCATTGCGATCTCTGTCTGGCTCCTACAGGAGACAGAGCTTTTGAATAGAGCATTTGGAGTAAAGTGCTACGATTTGTTTGATGACAACTAGACTCGCTGTGTTCTCGGGTCTGCTCTGCTTGTTAGAGGCAAGCATGCGCTTTCTTCTAAGAGAAGCTTCCTGACTCAGCTTTAGCTGCAAAGCCTGCAGCTCATTAAGAGGTCCTGCCACGAAACAAATGGTGTTGACGAAAAGCTGAACACATGCTTTTCGGTTTTCAGCAGCAGCAGGAAAAAACCTGTTGTTTAAAAATGCCGGCTTTCTGGGCCATCCTGCCAGGGCAAACTCTGACTATTTGAGGCAGGAGGGCCGGCTACCAAGAGAGGACTTGAGTGTTGTCTGTTGTAGCTCACTTGCTGGCAGGGACCTTGAAATGCCATACAGTTGTTGCAGTAAACATGGCTACAGCCTGTATATCCGCCATGAGGCTGGAAAGCTAAGGAATGGACTGGATCTAGCTGGCAAAGCCACGCCTTTAATCCTACCCATATTGCTCAGTAATTTTAAGGCTCGTGTGGTCAGAAAAAGAGAGATACAGTAAAGAGAGCTTCAAAGACAAAGAAAATTTCTAAATGGTTTGAAGTGTGTTAAAAATATATGCAGACTAAAATTTAAAGTTCTTAAAGTTAAAAAAAAAAGGAAGAGAGTTGTTGTGTGTGGTAGCACACGCCTTTAATCCCAGTGCCTAGAAGGCAGAGACAAACAGATCTCTGTGAGTTCAAGGTGTAGTAGCAAACACCTTTAATCCCACTGCCTGAGAGGCAGAGACAGGCGGATCTCTGAGAGTTCAAAGACAGCCTGGTCTACAGAGATATTCCAGGTCAAAGATATACGCTCAAAAAGCAAAAAGTTAACCTAGGAATGTCACAGCTTAGATTCTAAAGCGCCTAGTGAATTAAAGGCGCAAATCAAAAGTGCCCCTGGATAGTAAAAAATTGCAGATTCACAATAGGACAGATTCAGACCACTAAATGAGTCACACTGTGGATGAATGTACGTAGGCTTGGGAGAGAGAAGAAAAAGAATATAGAGAATAAAGTTAATGGTTTAAAAAAGTAAAAGTAAAGTCTTTAAAGAGACAGAGTACAGATAGTTAAGAGATTAAAAGAAATAAAGAAAAATAAGCCACATAAAAATGGAAAATTCACAGAGAGTCTGGATTATGTACATTGTGTTTTCTTTAAAATTTTTGACTGTGAAGGAGCTAAGTACAGAGAGACATTTCATTATATGGGCTGCCAAGTGGAACCAGAACGGATATCATGAGGGTATGATTTCAGAATTTGGATCTAAGGATATGATACTTTGGAAAAGAGATTCTTCTTTTGTTTTCACAGAGGATCAGACCTTGTGGATTGCATTTATCCCGATATGGTATGATAGACCACGCCCTCCTGAAGGGTTGGTGTGAACACCTTCAGAAAATTGCTTCGCTGAACTGCCAACTGAGATGAAACTAGCACACAGGTTATCCCGTGAAAGACCTAATTAACGACGCCCCCATTCAGCAGGAAGCAGTTTGGAGAGAAAAAACTGCGCCCATGTTC